TCAAGAGGTAGGTGCGGGCGTACAATTCCGATTTCCCCTCCCCTTTCAATGGCCAAACCTTACATCTCTTTCTTTTCCCAGTGGACACCTGAAAAGCGGACCCATTGAGCAACTGGAGGATCGGGAGCTGGATGGACCGCAGGCCAAGAAGAAAAAGAAGAGCAATTCAAAACAGAAACGCAGTCTGGGCAAGTCCCTGATCTAGGAGGAGGATTTTAATTGTTGTAGTTTTTTGTAATTACATTTCTTTTTTTTTAAGTTTCGCTAAAAAAAAATACGCCGAATACATCTAATCGAAGTATGGAAGTTGGTCTTAAATTTTAATGGTATCCTTGGTCTGCTTGGCCGCCTTGGCGGCTGCTCGACGACGATCGGCCAGGTCCTGGTAGCTGGTGCCCGGATCCTTGTGGGTGTTGCGCTCGAAGCGTTTCACCTTGGACTTCTTGCGGTTGACGGCCACCGTTGTGGGCAGCATGTTGTTCTTCTGCAGCAGATGGAAGCGATCCTTCAGGAGATTGCTCTCCGGTTTCACGTTGCGCAAATTGCCAGCCAGATCCTCGGGCATATTCACATCCACATCGGGCTCCTCGAACTTGTGCCGCCCCAGGCGCTTCGGCTCGAATTTCTTTTTCTCCGCCCGCTGCTTGCGGCGCTTCTTCAGGTCATTTAGGTCCTCCGCCTCGTCATCCAGTTCATGGCGAATCGATTTGATGCTGAAAGATGAGATCAAATTGAGTAAAGGATGGATGGGGGGGTGGGAACAAGTGTCTTACCGGATTAAGTCTGCTGTCTGTTGCTTGAGCTTCTTTTTGAGCTCCGTTTTGCGCTGCAGCTCCTTCTGCTTGAGCTCCTTTCGGCGTGCCTGTTTGCTCTTCTTTGCGTCTCTCTCCACGGCGGCATTGATGGTGCGATATGCCTTATCGGACGAGTCCGCCTCTTGGGGTTCTTCCTGCTCGGATTCCTCCTCTTTCTCATCTTCATCCAAGCCAGCACTCATCTCCATCAGGCGGCGTTCGTCGCGCTGTTGGGGTGTGACTTTGCTAAACATGCTGGTGGTGACGCGCTTCAGATGCTTCTCCTTCTGGATGATGCCCTCCTCGCGCTCCACGACCTGCGACAGCAGCTGCTCGTGCGCCTGCAGTGTTGGATTGTAGCTCATTCCCGGATGTGGAGCTTCAAACTTCTTGCCCTTAATGGTCTTGTGGTGCATGCTGGCGTGTGTCTTGACCAGCTTTTTGCCCACATTGCCGGCTATGTGGAGGGCCAGATCGCGGCTGATCCAGCCCTTCTCGTCCTTCAAGCCGGGTATCTTGTCACGGAAGTCTACGTCCTCCCAAATATCGGTCTCAAAGTTGGTTTTCTTTGCCTTCTTGTCGGCCAGGCGCTGCTCCATCTTCACATAGTACTGGCCCCGATCGCTGTTGGCCTGTCGATGGCGTGGCTTGGTGGGATTGCACACCTCCAACTCGATATTGCGTCCATTCTTCTTTTGCTTTACATGATTGCTGAAAAAAAACGCACAGGCATTTGCATTCGAGTGAATCAATACAACAGAAGCGCATCACCTACCGCTTGACAATGGGATCCTCCACTTTGGATGTGTTCTCCATTGGCTGGAATGTGCGCATGGGCTTCTTGGCATTTAGCTTTCTCTTCTGCTTAATGCTCAGCACAGTAGTGGTCTTCGCTTTCAGTGGCGAGGAGTCCAGCACGAATAGATCCTCATCCTGCTTTTCTGTGAAGGTGCTGCGCGTGCAGGCAGCGTGCAATGGAAAAAGTTGACAAAACTTCAAGATTTCATTTGCCAGAACTCACCCAACGCGCTCCTCCTGGCGCTGATCCTCGAGGAACTGCTCTACATCTTGTATGTCTGTCTTGCGCCAGGCAGATTTGTTTTTCTTTGAAATGCGCTTCTTTTTCGTTCCGGGCTCAACGGCAGTCATGATTCAAGTTTAATGAAAATGAAAACAAATTTAAAGAGCGGTGCACACGTGCAATCTGCTTACGCTGTGCAGCACTGCGTCTGACATGACAACTCACGTTCACCAACACTTGACTGTCAGAGCTGCCAGCTGAGCGGTTTGTATCTCAGTGATGCGAAGTAGAAATTTCGTATCAAGGATAAAAAAATATGTTCAGAAATGAGGTAGTCACAATATGATTTCCATGGTAAATATATAAAATATGTTCAATTAGACTATTCGACCTTACTATCGTAAAGAGAGCAGCTTTTTCTGGAAATAGCTGAAAATAACTAATAGCTAAAATAAGCTAAATATTGTCGAGGTGTATAATAATGTATATCTTAACTAACGATGTGTACAGTTTTTCTGTATCTGAGTTTTAATAAATAAGTCCCACAGTACAGTTAAAGTGTCGAAACTAGCTTTATATCAAAATAAAACGTTTAAAATATCTAAAAGCTAGCTCTGGCATTTAGCTTACGAATCGCATCTCTATTCCATACAAGTGTCAGATGCACGCACGATGATGCAAATAAAAAAGGTGGTCTCGTCGGCAAAAAGTAGTCTACCAGCTATGCTGTTAAGTGCGATGGAAGAGATTCTGCGTGGTAAGTGTGATTGAAACGACAGTGGAGTGTTTTGATTAACCCTTACAAACCCCTAACCAATTACATGAATAAGAGTTTAAGTTTTTTTATATATGCTTTTTATATAAGTTACTACTAGAATAATTGACCGAAGTCCGACGATTCGGCAAGCGACGAGACCAACTTGTATATTTGCATCATGGCACACACATTCCAATCAACAATTATTGCGTGGGAGTGTGCGTGCGTTTCTGCCGGCCATTCAACCGTATAAAAATGTTGTTTTCAATTTAAAAGGAAGCCGCGCGCCCAAACAATCGACAGAAGCACTCTGTTATAGCGGTCAAAAGGGCGAGCGAAATCCCAGAAAAACACTCCAAATAACAATCAAGCAACGCGAGAGAGAAGCAGAACCAGAAAATATACAAACTCGCGGAATAAAAAGCCGGTAAGTAGAGTAGTACGCTCGCACGCTACGATAGCGTCTACAGTGACTGAGGCAGAGGCGCGCCTTCAGCAGCAGCAGCAACTGGTAGCTGTGGAACTACTTACGTGTCCCAAACAAATCCTCAGACAGGAGAGAGGCAGAAGTCGCCGCAGATTTTTTTCACTGATTATCGCTGAATGTCAAGTGCTGTCCGCTTATCAATTGAATACTATCTCATTTCCGAGCAGATTGTTTGCCACAAATAGCTGATAGAGATCCCCGAGTGGTTACACTAACGCATCAACCGTCAAGATGAGCTCAACACCAACATTTTCGGACATTTCGGCCAAGTTCTCGGAGGCGACGCTGGATGAGATCATCCAGAAGGCGGGCGGCACCAAGCACACCTCGTACAAGTTCGGGCCCAGCGGCAAGAAGGGCGATGCCTACTTGAGCCGCGTCTTTCGCATCACCATCTTTGGAGTGAAGGTGGGGCCGGATGGCAAGGAGGCGGAGCTGGAAGTGAATACCATTGTCAAGGCCATGCCGGACAATCTGCACAGGCGACGTCTGTTTCGGTCTGTGATATTTTTCCGGAATGAGATCCACTTCTACACGAAGGTCATTCCGGCCATTGAGGCCTTCCAGGCTGCCAGGCAGCCCAAGCCCAAGCCCAATAATCCCTTTGTGGAGTACGCCAAGTGCTATGCCTCGCTGTGCGATGGCATCAACGACTTCATTGTGCTTGAGGATGTGGGACCACGCGGCTACAGGGCCCCTGTTCGGTGAGTGCCAACCATGCCAGCAGAGCCTCCTTTGCCCTTCCCCCATGTAAAACGTTCTATCACAGCCAGGACTATATTGCCCTGGAGGATGCCCTGCTGACGATGCGAACTCTGGGGCGCTACCATGGCGTGGCCCTGGCCTTCAATGCCTTGGACTCCAAGAACTTCGAGAAGGCCGCCTCGGCCCTGGAGGAGACCTACTACGGGGAGCACACTCGCGAATGGTACACCGACTTCCTGGGTCTGGCCGAGAACGTGGCCAAGGATGCCATTGCCAAGACCTATCCCAACACCAAGTACGAGACAATTAGCAGTAACTTCCTGCAGCCGTCGCTCTTTGACGACTTGATCGACCTCGTGTCCACGCGCTCGAAGTTGAGCGTGTTCGGGCACGGCGATTGCTGGACGCCCAACTTCCTCACCAGCTACGGAAATGGAGGCGAGCCGCTAAAGATTATCATCATCGACTTCCAGCTGGCGCGCTGCTCCTCGCTGGCCCTCGACCTGAGCTTCTTCATTTATTCGTGCACCAGCCAGGAGCTGCGCGAGAAGCATTATGATGAGCTGCTTCGCGCCTATCTGGACAGTGCCCAAGATTTGATCACCGACCTGGGCGGCGATGCCGAGACGATCATCTCCTGGGACTCGCTCAAGGCAGAGCTCGTCCAGTTTGGACGCTTCGGCTGCGGCATGGGCATTGAATCGCTGCCCATGACCATGATGGAGGACGAGGAGGTTGCCGATCTGGATGCCATCAAGGAGAATGCCGTTCTCACCGACATCTGGAACATTACGCCCTTCAAAGAGCCCGCCAAGCAGCAACGTCTTGCCGACATATTCAAGCATGCCATCGACCAGAACTACATCAAGTAGAGCCGAACGCGGCGCGCTCTCCCCTTCGATTTTAAGTAGCACCAGAAAGATCCACGGCAGTGGAGGATAATGCCAATGTATTCCCATTCCTGTATTAATGGCTATTCCACATCATATCGCACATTCTATATCGTATAACCTGTCTAATATAATGCAATTTTGTTTGCCTACCCGTAATAGAGTGTAACCCATAAGGTGGACTAAACTGTGGTTCGTCACTCGATTGAAAATGCCATCCGAGGTGCACTATCGCATGACACATTAAGCAGCAAGAAAGTAAACAGATTTAAGGAAAATTGTATAAAATGTATCCCTAAACGAGTATTGCGATTCCTCCTCAAAAGTTCAATCAAACACTTTGATACTGGTTGGATTAGAATGGATTTTTGTTTGTATGTATAATAAACGAAGGAGATAACATAACTGAAAACGTATATACACAGTGCTGTTCGCTCTCTCTCTCTCTCTTTCTCTCTGTCTGTCTATCTAAAGACATCTTCCTTCGTGGAGGACACACCAGCGCGGGATGACGGCGTCCGCATGGATGCCACGTGCGAGGAGGCGCTCACGATAGCGATAGAAGCGTTGCTGGGCCACCAGGGCCGAAGACTTCGGATTCGACCAGAGGCGCTCGGCGGCCGCACCAGCTCGTGGCCAGATGCGGGACTCTGTAACGGATCGAAGGATCGCATTGGTTAAATGAAAAGAGAAAAAGGGTTGGGCATGCAGTTACCCAAGGAGTTGTGATCGACAAACTCGCTCCACATGCACGCCTCGCCGCCGAGGACCTGGCTGCTGTGATTGCCCATCGGCATGCCGCTGGCATAGACGGTGCGCCAGTTGTAGTAGCTGGTGCTGCCCCAGAAGCCGTGGTCCAGGTACCAGGCATTCTTGGTGGAAATAATCAGGCGGTAGCCGCGCTGCAGCAGCTCCCGATTGAGGGGGTCCGCGGAATCGACCCACGTCTGGATGATGAATCGCTCCTTGGGCAGGAAGGTCTCAATGTATTTGGGAACTGTAAGGTGGCTGGACCAGATGATCACCGGCTTGGGATCCTTGATGTTGGGATACATGCGCTCGTTGATGTCGTCCCAGGCATTGAGATTCCGCTGATGGAACTGCGACCAAAGACGGAGGAAGCTGTTCTCGCTGCGATCGTAGCCCTGGGCCCGCATCTTCGCTACGATCTCCTCCGTGTTGTTCCAGCACGGTAGGTACACCTCGTCGCCGCCCATGTGCACGGTCTCCTCAGGTGCCCCAACTTCGGCCACATCTTCGAGGATCTCCTTCAGCACGGCGTACATGTGATCGTTCAGGGGGTTCAGCTGCCCGCATGGCGGCTGTACGCAGAAGCTCCGCCACGGCGACTGATTTAGGCAAACGGACATGTTGCCCAGTCCCGCCGCCGGACCCCACTGCCAGCCATTGCCCGCGTGCGAGGGCCCATCGATCTCGATGAGGATGCGAATGCCCCTGAGGCGGGCGTACTTCACCAGATTGATGGCATCCGTGCGAGAGTAGGTCTGGGAGGTGGAGTAGGCGCCGTAGCGCTGCATCTCCGGCACACGGGTGATCTCCAGCGGGAAACTGTGCGTGTCCACCACATGCCAGTGGAGGACATTCATCTTGGAGGCGGCCATGGCATCCAGGGTGCTACGCAGATACCGCAGCGGTATAAAGTTACGCGAGGTGTCCAGCAGCACGCCGCGATGCGGGTAGGCGGGACGATCTGCGATGCGAGCGGCGCTGACGAGGAGCAGGCCGTTGCTCACGCTGCCTGTGACCAGGTTGCTGAGCGTCTCGAAGGAGTGCCTCGCCCCGTACACCGTCGCCGCCTGGATGTCCACAAAGGTGGCCGTCTCCGTGGTGCGCAGCACCATCGTGTAGCTCTCGTCCGTGCGCCAGTCGAGCACCAGACTGTTGCTGCTCACAGTTGCCCGCACAAGGATCTGCTTGCTGCTGGCCAAAGTGCAGTTGCGGGTGCACTCCTTGAGCAGATTACTCACAAACAGGCGGTTCGTCTCTCGCAAAAACTGCGTGGTCGCCTCGCTGGGGGCCACAACATGGAAGCGCACCTTCCAAGGATCAAAGTGCACCCGCTCGTGCGACAGGCTGCACTCCACACCCGTCGGCATGGGCCAGATGGAACCATACTTGCCGCACGACAGCCGACAGTCCCTCTGGCTCTCAAAGTGCTCCTCCAAATACCCGACCCCATTCTCCAACTCATCCTCGGGGCTGCAGATGTCCGTTTGGCTGCAGAACCATTTCCTGAAACATGAAACATGAAAATTTGATAGCGAATTTGAATTGTTTACTCTCGGGCGGAAGACTTTTCGATAAGCTTATCAAATGCCACTTCGAGGGATTTCCGTTCCACTCAAAAGACCCACAATGATTGCAGAGGATCTACCCTTTAAAAACCCTCAAGATATGGACAACATTTGACCATATTTTTCGCTTGTAAAATTCTTACATTTCCATCAAAATTGTTTTGTTTAATTGAGTACTTTGCGGTTCGATATTGATTCGATATTAATCTTAAGGGAAATACCGTTTCATTTATCTTGGTTTTTGGTTCAAGCAGGAATTATTTTCTTTCTTTTTTAAGCTTTTTAAAAACATTGTTTGGGTTTTCTCACCATTCTATTGAATGAATTCGACTTGATTATTTGGTAAACTATTAAGTCTTCACTTGCACCACTTTCTCCGTTTGGGGTTGTAGTTTTGCACTAAGAAATTCCTTTAAACAATGGTTTTAATTATCATTTTCTTTCTTTATTATTCCCATTTTATTTTCACTTTTATCACAAAAAACACCAAAAGAAAAACACCACAAACTTTATATATAATAGAATTAAATATCCCTTTCATCCAGTTGAAAATATTTATTAATTTTTATTTCACTTTTTGTTTTATTTTATAGGACAGGATCATTAGAGCTTTACTTTTGCACATTAGAATATCTGGAAAGCTGTCTGGAAAACCCACTTTTTCTTCAAGGCCTTGGTTTCAATTTCGCGTGAGACGAAATTAGGTTGAATTTTGATTTCAGAGTGCACGGGGAAGTGGGAACACACCTGCTGCCGCCAGCGATTGCCTCGGCGCTGTCGTCGCCCTGCGTCCGCCCTACACCAAGGGCTAGGCAAATGCAGACCACCAGCGTCGCTGTCGCTGTAGAGCAGTGATAACGGTTGTGGCCGCTGAACCGCATCTTCCTTTCTAACTGTACTCGCTGGCTATGCTGCTCTTTTTATATACAATGTGCGCCAAACCGAGATAGTGACAGCCAAAAACAAAAATTTAAACGGAACAAAAAAAATAGAGAGAAACAAAAAAAAAAAACTAGGTGAAATTTCACTTTCTGCAGCGACACACTAGGGGGGGCCGCACACATGCAAATGGGCGCCGTACTGAATGCTGACTGAAAACTGAATTAAAAATGCTGCAAAGCCGGGCTTATCGACAGAATTAGCAACAGCAGCAGCACTCACACACAAGCACACGCGCGGCCCCGACCACTGTCATGGTGTATGATTGTCAGGGTGCGGCCTTCACCTAACAGTTGCATTTCTGCACTTGGGACTATGGGTGCTACCACCTGTGATGCGATACACTCATGGAGGGCGAGTGATGAAGAAAATCTGCCACTCGATTTGTGCCATTGCAATGGCTCACCCTTTTTCAATACACATTGCACAAGAGCGTCGCGGTCACTGGGTGAAAGAGAGTTCCTACAGCCAGCGAGAGTGAGAAAGAGCAGAAGTGAGGCCGCCTGACAGCCCACTCGCGACTACTCACCCCACCAACCATCCTGTTTGTCGCGCATAAGTACGGAAATAGTGGGGGAGGGTGAGAGCGACATGATTAAATAAAATAAAATTAAAAAAAAGAAAAGAAAAGAAAGAGGGCGAACCGAAGCGCGCTATACCCTGGCAGATCCATTATTCTTATATGCCTGGCATAGCAAATATCAAGAAAGGCATGTGAACATATGAAAGCCACATACCATATGAGGTTATATTTTAAATAATCAAAGTCCTTTTCGTATGTACTTATTGAAACGCCTAAAGTCGGTGCAGTACTCCTCACTTCTCACACAAGAAACGCTGTCTTAGCTCGGTTTCCTCCGCTGCACGAGGCAGAGTGTGTGAGGGAGGGAGATGGAGGAGGTGGCGAATTGTCACTGCAAATTAATCTCTTTATTCTGGCTTAAATAATCATCCGAACTAATCGAATCCTCCAAAAATGTGAATGCCACAGATTTTCGTAAGATCGGAATCAAATTATACTGGTAACATATAAAAAACTGAAGGCAAAATAAGGTATAGAATAACTATTCCTGCAAATCCCGGTTGGTCGGGGCATACGAATATTGTATGGATATTAAAAGAAAGAAAACACACCTTAAAACTTTCAAATTAAGGGTACATCATTTCAGTTAGTGCCAGAGTTCCAAAGTTACCAAAAAGAGAGGCGTCACAACCAAATAATAAAGTTAAAAGTACTACTCATTGGAGCTTACAAATTCTTAACCCAGACTTCAAATATGGAAGTTTTTTAACATTTTTTTAAACATATATTGATTAAGTATCACAAAAGTAGCCTTTCGAAAAAAAATAATATATTAAAAAAAATGTTCACTGAAGTTACTTTTATTTTTACATTGACTTAGTTTGTAATTTGTTGATGTATTTGACATTTAATCGTGAACAGACATAAGGCTTCTTGTTATTAGGATGTGGTAGGCATGGTGGCATGGTTTAATGACCATGATTATTGTGGGATTTCATTGCAGAGGGCAAAGGCTTTGGCACTAGCTTTCAAAACAAATGTATATTAGGCCACGTACCGATTACAAAGCAATACTCCACTTAAAGCATATACGATGACATTATCCAAATATCCCATTCACTTTCAGATTTTAAGAAAAACTTAGAACTAAGACAAAGCCCGTCCACAAATGGGATGATATTGCTAGCATCTTTAGTAGCAAATAAAGAAAATCAAGTTCATTGAGTGCAAGCAATGGCAAGTCGTAAACCCATGGCCAAAATGGAGGATGGCAATTATCAGTTTCTGAGGTTCTTACTGTATGCAACAATAGAGTAAGCATATAAAGGACTCCAGGGTAGTGTCAGGGAATTATAACAGCTCTACTCTGGAAATAATAAACACATTTTTTGGGGAGACGGTTGGAGGTACCACTCGCCATATCCGTTTGTCCGTATCCAAACACTGCCATAATATATCATATCGAACAAGCGAAGAGCGAACAAACAATTTCTCATAAGAGTAAAACAATTGTGGAATGTACTCGTTCGTCTGTTCATCTGTGGTTGGATTTGGATGATTATTATTTTTATTTTATTGTATTCCGGCATTCACACATCCCATGGCCATAGAACTATAGTTCTCTTATAGCGCTACCCTCTACCGCTCTTTGTTTTTCGTTTTTTTATTAATATGTATTATTGTATGTGGGGGCGGCGGGGGTTATGTTCTGTTGGTGTATGAATTCCAATTCCATTTCCATGCGCGCCTTTTGTGCGCCTTTCAAATGAATTATGCGATAGCGCCGCCTTCGTCTATTGTTGTTGCCCATGTGCGGTCTCCCCTCTCTCTCTCTCTCTCTCTTCGTGTGTGTAAAATTATAATAATTAAAAAAGAAAATATAAAAAAATGGAAGGAGGACATCATGTCGTGCCATATGGACTTGAGATGACAGTACAGCAAACCGAGCACGAAAACTCGGCTTAAAAATTTAGTTATTGTTTATATAGAATAAATATTTATCCAAGAACTTTGCAATCAGAGGTGCCATGTGCACGAATATGAAGCTAAAAATGATTCACGCACCCATCTCTAAGCTTCATCGTATGCGATTCACACACATGCGAACCAAATGAGTTTTGCCCAACTCGGACAGGTCCCGGGCAACAGGAGGAGCAGCGGGCAAGGCAGCAGAAGTGGCAACATCATGATGAGGCAGGCAAACTGCGGTGGCTCCTTCTGCCGCTTCCGGACAATGAGGATGCAAAATGCTGGCCTGGCCTGGCCGTCGCCAATGATTATGATGTTGATTACATCTGCATCTGCATCTGCATCTCTCTGCCCTTGCCTTGCCCGCTGGTCACGTCCGTCAGTCAGTCGCCGTGTCCGGGTGTCCGGGTGTCCTTCATTCAAGCTTCCGTCTGACGGGCACGAACTGAAGGATCTGCTGCTGCTTAGAACAATGCAAGATTAAAAAACTGTAACAAATTACAAGCAAAACGGCAAATGAATTACACAAAACAAACAAAAACAGGGGCAGGCAGGGCAGGGTGGCCCAAGCAGGGAAACTGCAAACAAAAAAGTTCCATCTGCTGGGCCGCTGACCTCAGAGGAATGCAAAGAAAGCAGAAAGGGACTGTAGCATGCGAGTACCGAGTACGAGTACGAGTATGTGTGGAAATTACCAACTTGATGCAAAAGTTAATTAACATTGTGGCAGCGTAGGGAGGGAAAGAGGTTCCCATTCCCACACGGGAAATAAAAGTTATCCAAGGGAGATCCAACCACGTAGGAAAAAGGATTATAAATTGGACCTTAGATGGTTGTCGTTTGTCTGCCGTTGGCAGCAAATCGGAATAAAATCAAAAATTAAGTTTATCCAAATCGCTGAAGCGTGCTTTCTGCTTCTTTATTCACATCATCCGCAGCGATAGTCAATGTCGTGTCATTGCCTACCCCTCCTCCACCTCCACCTCCTTCTCTTCCTACATGCACAGGTGGCCCGCCCGACGAACCGTTTAGCCTAGCGGGGGCTGGCTAGATCGTATCGGAAGTGGATGAGTGAGTGAGCCACATCCATATACTCGTACTCGTACATTGTAGGTCTGTCGGTGGTCGGTGGTCGGTTGGTTGTGTCCCCGGGAACCGTCAAACAATGCAAATTGCATGAATGAATGCCATTTTGCATTTCATTTGAATGACATGACTTTGCCACCACCACCAGCACACCACCTCCATGGCCAGACCAGGCCATCAGTTTGCCGGTTGAACCTGAACCCACACCCGAACCGCATTCTCTGTACTTTCTGCTTTCTGCCTGCCAGCCTGCCTGCCTGCTGCAGTGAGCCTTCTGTGGGCATTCTGTTTTTCTTTTGATTAAATCAAATGCATAAAATGTTTTCAATTCAATCAGAAAACAAGTCAGGAATCGTACGGCCTACAGGGCCGTCTGCTCTTGCAGACTATGGGAATACCCCGTGACAAAATTTCACACCAATTAGCACTCACTCCCGTCGGTATATAAGTTTCTGTTTCTACTTTTGGCAATCTTCGTTTCCCACTAGAAGTCAGTAAAATTATGCATTTTATATGACTTTCTAGATCTTATTGGAATCGCTTACCGATCTCCACATTGTCCATGACTCTCTCCGCTTATAGGGTATCAAAACAAGCAATGCAAAAACAACTGTAAAAGCACAAGCGAGCAAAAGAGACAGATAGATGGAGAGAAAGCAAAAGAGAATCAAATGTTGAGTCGACCATTCGTGTTGTTGTTGTTGCTGTTGCTGTTCTTGTTGTTGTTTTCTTTTTTTAATTTGTTCAAAGTTTTCCTCCTCTTTTTTTAACACACATGTGGTATTTATTTGCATACACTATGGAGAGGGTACACCTCATTTTTAGGAGCAGAAAACCATAGAGGATGGATTCTATAAATTATAATTAGGAGTGTTATTTTTTTGGAGTACCTAAAGGTATCCGTCGAATCAAACAAACATTCGAGTGTAAAAGCATTAACATATAGTCACTTTTTTTTTTGTTTTAAATTTAAAATCCGCGATTTGGTGTTAATTTGTACAGCTCCTACGATTTATTTTATTCACATCGAAACAATGGCTGTATTTGGAGATAAAAGAGACCTACGCTTTGGGGCTTTCTCGTATTTTTCTGATATGCAAACTCACAGCAGCGCTTACAAATTGTAATTTCTAGAAAAAACATAATAAAAACTGGGCGTACTGCATCGTGAAAGGGTATCTGAGCAGTGGTTGCTTCCGTACCCCTGTTATTCCCCCCTCTTTGTTTCTTGCGATGCATATAAGTGTATGTGTGTGTGTGTGTGAATGTGTGTGAATCTAGCTTTTTAATTAATTGCACTAACATTGCCCACAGACGCCACAGGCCCCTATCCCATGTCCCCTGTCCTCTGGCTCACCCTCTCATTCTCTGATGATGGTTTCGATTTTGTTTTGTTTTGTTTTGTTTTGACTTTTGTTCTGTTATTCAGATTTGTGCTTGTTCGGTTTGTTGTTGCTGTTTTGTTTTTGATTTGATAATCCAACAATTTCA